AGAAGATAAAATCAGTCGATGCCTTCCCTATGAGCTTCTGCAAAGGTCTGGTCATTCACATGAGTGTGCGAGTCAGATGCATCACAAAGTAAAATAGAAGCTAGAGGAGGTGGAGATACAAGGATCAGATTGTGAGGTCCCACCTCCCTAGAAAGCAATAGTGGCCAGGTAGTCGGTAGCGCCGTTTCCTACACGGGAAATAAGGGAACAAGACAGCATACTTCGTGACGTTATCTGGTTAATTAAGTCGGTGACTAGGCCTTGCAACATCCAGGGGCAAGAGGATGGGGACCGTACAGAGAGAGCATTAAGAAGCACATTGCAATCGCCTTCAAGAATGATGTTTGGATAGCCCCATTCCTCAGAAAGGGAGATAGCTTTAGATACTGTCAAAATTTCAGCATGGAGCGTTGAGGATGCTTTAATACTTTCTGACCAACCTCGGAGAAATAGTCCATTGGAGTCTCTACTAATTATCCCTATGCCTGCTCTACCAGATTTATGACAATAGGCTCTATCACAATCAAACTTCACAAAACCGTACTATGGCTTCTTCCACTTGGTGGTAGCTTTAGAAATCATAGCTTCTGTGTTAGAGGGCATCAACACATTGGCATCCCAGAAATCCCGAATCATCTTATTAGCATTTTCTATTACTATGGTAGGATCTGGTGGCACTTGTTCGAAGACCATCTTGCAGCAAAACTTCCAGATGCACCAGCATAGAGTGACTAGGTAGGCCTTACTAAAGTCAGAGTCTTCCATCTCATCCAATAGAAAGTTTTCCAACCAAAAGGATACATTCTGAATGTTGCAGGGGTCTATCATAATACGTACCCAATTGGTATCTAAACCAGGCAAATTTAGTCCAATTGCATAAGAGGAATAAGTGCTCCAAGGTCTCCGTCTCTTCTCCACATACCAGGAAAATAGGATCAGAGGCACATCTGTATCGGTACATGGGTTCTTTGGTTGCTAGGCTTCTACTGAGTATTTTCCAAATGAAATTTTTGACCCTTGGAATAGTTTTGAGCTTCCAAACTGCAACCCATATTCTAGTGTCGACTTTTCTTGATGTAGTGGCTCTCGTTACTGCTAGCTTCGAATTAGACCTAGTCAACGCTGCTCTGTACCCTGCTTTTACAGTATATTTTCCATCTTTTGATGCTGCCCCGATAAGTTTATATGTTGCACTCAAACAAAGTAAAGGTATATTCATAATAAGGTTCAAGTATTCCTTGTCCACTTGCTCCCTAATAGGGTCTAAATTCCATTGCCTTTCACTTATTAAACTCGAGGCTAATAAGTCTGGATTAATAACAACATCATCTTTCTTGGGTAGGAGGAAATCATTAGTGCCACGGATCCACAGATCCTTCCATACCTGGATATAGTGTCTATTGCCAACCTGCCGGCAAAGGTTTTGTCTCAAGAAGCTACGTCTAGTAAGAATACTGTCCCATACCCAGGATGCTTTGGGGCCTTTTTTAGCTTCCATGAAGGAGGAATTAGGAAAGTAGATACTTTTCAAGATTCGGATCCAGAGGCTTTCTGGAGACTGGAGGATATGCCATGCTGTTTTGGCTTGTAGGGTATTATTAAAACCCATAAAATCCCTGAATCGCAAGCCTCCCTCCTTTTTGGATTTAGAGAGTGATTTCTGTACTTTCTAGTAAATTTTACCTCCACCATCACTGTTGCTCTAGAAAAAATTTGAAACTAGTTGGTTGAGAGCCAGGTAGGTTTGCTTTGGAAACTTGAAGCAGCACATAGGATAAATACGAATTGCATTGACCACTGCTTTTATCATAGCCTCTCTACTAGAAAAGGAGAGGCATTTCTTCTTCCAGCTTTGGACTTTCCTCCCCATTTTGTCTCTAACATAAGCAAGTGCTGCTTGCTTTGATGATCCCCATAAAATAGGTAGCCCCAAGTATTTTCCATGATCTGATGTGGCTGATATATTCAGGCAGGAGGCAATCTGGATACTCACCTCTTTTAGAGTGTTAGGTGAGAAGATTAGGCTAGATTTATCATAGTTGACTCGTTAGCTCGAGCACATACAATAATCTTGAAGAGATTTCATAAACAGTCTGCAATTTTGTACCTCAACATGCATAAAAATGATGGTATCATTAGCAAAGAGGCAATGTGTAAGCATTGGGCCACTTCTAGTGATGTTTATCCCTTTGAAGTTCCCATGATCAGCATGAAAGGTTAACATTGAAGAGAAAGCCTCAGACGCCAAAATGAATAGATAGGGGGATAGGGGATCACCCTACCTTAAGCCTCTTCGGGGATTAATTTGAGCTATCTTCCTGCCTGACAGTTAGACATTGAAAGAGACACTGCTCACGCAGTCCATAATCCAAGAGATCCACTTATCACAAAAATTAAGTTTTCTAATCATTCCTTCAATGAATCCCTACTCTAAATGGTCATAAGCTTTATTCATATCCATTTTCACTACTACTTCATATTTCTCACTAGATTTCTTGGTCTTTAGATAATGGAATGCCTCGTGAACGATGACGCTGTTATCTTGAATCAAGCGATTGGGGATAAAAGCCCTCTGATTTTCAGATATGCAACTATCAAGAACAAATCTCAATCTAATGGCTAAAATCTTAGCCACAACTTTGTAAGCAAAATTGCATAGGCTTATCGGGCGGTATTGGGAGACAGTTTCAGGGGAGTCCACTTTTGGAATAAGTATCAAATTTGTTTCATTCAGAGCATTTATTGTACTACCCCCTTAAAGAAATTCCTAACTGAATGTAGCAATGATGATTTTACCTCATCCCATGAGAACTGATAGAAGTGGCCATTGAAACCATCAGGGCCAGGGGCTTTAAATGCACCAGGCTAAAAGGTAGCTTCCTTAATTTCTAATTCTGTCACTAGGAGTGTAAGCCACTTGTTTTGTTATTCTGTAATTTTAGGTTGCATATAGTATAAGACTAAATCCATGTGTGTTACAGGGTGACTTCTAAATAGAGAGTTGTAAAAATCCATAACCAAGTTTGCAACTCCTTCCTCCTTTTCAATCCATTCCCCATGCTGGTTTTTCATTCTCACAATCAGGTTTCTCTGTCAGCAAAAGAGAGTAGATTTGTGAAAATGCTTAGTATTGAGGTCACCCGTTTTGAGCCAATTGATTCAACCCCTTTGCCACCAGTACACTTCCTCCCATTTCTAAACACTTTCCAACTCCAAGGTTAGAGCATCAATATTGAGTTTCAGCTCTTTTATATACGCTTCCTATTTTAGCTCTTCAATTCAAGTGATTAAGGAATTGATTAGTTTCCTATTGTTTGGAAACTGCTTTGCTCCATCCAATAAGCGCCCTCCTGGATCTGTTCAAGCATTCTAGAAAGACTTAGATACCATTCTTTGAGGAGTTCTCAGCCCCTAGCCAGCAATTTCTAATTATAGACAGGAAATCAGGATGGGTTACCCATATATCATTAAACTTGAAAGTTTTGGGAGTTATTATATCGTTATAGCATAACTTTACCAAAAGTTAATGGTGATCTGAAGCCAGTGGTTCAATGTGGAAAGCTAGAGCCTTTGGAAAGGCTTCTTTGAAGTTAAGATTCCCGAAAGCATGGTCAATTCTCTCCTTGACATGGTCTTGCCCGATTCGTTGATTACACCATGTGAATCTTGCTCCTTTAGCGACCAGTTCAATTAACTCGCAATCATATATGAATTGTTGGAAGTTCAACACCCGGCAAAGCACATGAGGGTTACTGCCCCATTTGTCATCTTGATATAAAATATCATTAAAGTCACCTATGCAAAGCCCGAAGCAGTCATAAAATAGGCAATTTTTTGTACCTGCTCCCAGACTTTTCTTCTGTCTCCCTCCCTCAGTGGGCCATAAATGAAAGTTAAGTACTCTGGAAGGTCTATCACATTAGAGGAGATTTTGGTATGAATAACATTTTTTGAGCTGCTAATGATGTTGACTCCAATCATTTTGATCCACTAAAGAGCTAGCCCACCTGATTGATCACAAGGGGAAACTGTCTAGCTTTCTTCAAAACCAATAGCGACGCTTCACATGGTCTAATAGCGATCCTATTTTTTTGTTTCCATTAAGAAAACAATTTGGGGATTATTTTTCTTTACCTCCCCCTTGAGGTTCTTCACTGCCAAGGATTTCCCCAGTCCTTGATAGTTCCAAGCTAGGACACTCATGGTTTTTGGGTGGCTATTAAAGGACAGCCACCAGAGCCCTCAGTGTTGTTTGAAATCGGAGAAGATTGTGATTTTTCATTGAATTTAAACCAACTGTCAAGAAAATCAATCTCTGAGTTGGCTTCGTCTTCTTCTGCAACTGTAGGAGTGATCAACTTTTTATTACGTATTCTCTGTTTTACCTTCCTTACACTCTTTCTTCTTGGCAAAGGGGAAGTAAAGTCCTTCGCTTGTTCTAGGTTTGCATCAAACAGACGTCTTCGCTTGGCCCCAGTTGGTGAATCAAGTTCTTCTGTTGGCCGTTTCAATTTAACACTAACAAGTCTCTTTGTTACTTCTGAAACAAGGGAAAGTTGTTCAATAGGAATAACATCCCCATGCATAGACTCTTCAAACTTTACAGATTCAGCCTTACTATCTATAGGGGAGAAGCCCAATTCATGACTTAGGCTTCTACAAAGCTGGTCCGTTATCTGCAGGTTCTTGTTTATAATTGGGTTACTTCTAACCAGGCCTACATGGGCTTTGCTCATGACCACCAGCCCACGTCCTAGGCTTTCTTTTGCTACCGTACCTTCAGTTGGTGGGGTTTCACTCTTGTCTTGTCTGTGGCAGGTAGGAAACATGTTGTCATCTTGATAGGTGTCCCCTCCCATGACTCCCCGTCCTTGGGTGGCGAGTAAATGGCGGCTACGTTCCTTCCCATCATCATATCAAATTGCCTTTGGGTCAGCCCCACGCTCTTTCGTTTTGCTATAGTCACACGCCGACTATTGTCTCTGGCAATCCTCCTTATGTCAATTCTTGTCGTACTGAATTAGAGCCTCCTCCTTGTCCCTCTCCACTCCAGTTACTGTCCAAGGCCCATATACACGTTCCCCTTTCTGATTGATCACAAATTCCTTTCTGCACGTTTTGCTATCATGACCAATGAGACTGCATTTGTAACAAAAGGATTGCAGTCGTTCGTATTTCACCGAGATCCAGATCTCTGATCCATCAGGTCTCGCTGTCCAAAAGCCATGGGTCAATGGCCTCCTTATGTCGATCAACACTCTAGCTCTGGCAAAGCATCTTGTATATTTACCTTCAGTCTTTGGCCTTTCGTACCATACTAAATCTCCCACAGAGTTGCCCATGTTCCACACGTTTTCTTCAAACTCTAGAATCCTGAGAGGTACATTATGGAACTGGACCCAGACAGGAGTTCTGTCGAAGGAGACCTCATTAAGGACTTTGAACTCTGACCATTCCTGTATGCTCATGAGAGACCCATCAATAGTCCATGGCCTTCCCTTCAGTAGTCTGCACTTATCCTTCATCTCTGTGAACGTGAACACAAAAGCCTCTTCACCAAGATCAACTACATCTACTGTTTCGTTCAAGTTCCATCCTTTCCGGATTGTAGATAAAACTTCCTTTTTGTTAATCCCTTTATCAACAATGATCTTGCCAATAAGCATGTTGCTTTCCTCCATTTTTTCCTGGTTTTTCCATACCACGTTTGGTCTACGACCACTTCGTCGTGTCCCTCCTCTAAAGTCATTCATCTTGTTTTTTTGTGCTTCCGTCGATGAAAGCTTTTACGCAGGAAAACTCACTTGCTTGGTCCTGGAACTATGAAGCTATAACCAGCAAACACTCTAGAACATTCACACTCCAGGAGCCCTGGTATCAAAAAGGGAAACCAGAGTACTCTTTCTCGGATGATCACAGTGGGTGATCACCGTACTCTCTCCTGCCACCACAAAGGGTAGCACTATGCACTCTCAGGACGAGAGAAACGCTCCACACAATGAGAGCACTGCAATGTGTTTATTATATAAATTAAGATAACAAACAAATAATTGTATTATATATACACAATATATTAAAGATGTAATATATGAGAAAAATTTAAAATTGACAAATGAATTTATTTGAACACCCCCATTTATGATTATTGACTAAACTAATGTTGAAGAGAATTTTGAGTTTGAACAAGGACAGAATGAAATTTGATCAAGATATAGATTGATTTCGACATTCAACACAAAACAAATGGCACATATATATGCAAAGTTTTTTTAGCAAAAAAATTATGTAGGATACATGTATAAATAGGAGAAGGGTGTTTACTTTAATTATTCAAATCATTTAATTTTTTTATATAAAATAATTAATTAGATTTTTTCACTAATTATAAATAATTTTCTCCAAATAAATAAAAAGCAAATAAATAATATAATGCAATATAATACATGTATATAATTAAATTATTTACAATATAAAATTCTAAATTTGTTTCATGTAAAATTAATATCATATTTAAAATAATTTCTGAATGAAATAAAATATTATAAAATAAATAGCAATATAAATATTTAAAAACTAATTTGTCATATCAATAATTAAATTAAAATTATTATATAATTATATACATGTATGTATATATGATCGTTCCGGAAAAAAAACAATATGATATATATATATATATATATATATATAATATTTTGTGTTAAAAGATTGTGAATTCTTTGGAGCTGAAGCTGATGAAGTGGCAAATACTCAGGTGTGCACGTGAGGTGAGGGTTAACAGTAATTGGAGTAACGGGTATAATGAGCCCTCTGAGCCTATTTAATATCTAAAAGCTCCTAAAACATTACTAAGTTCCATTGAATCCCTTGGGCGGGCCAAAGTGAACTTAAATTTTTCTCTCATGTATTATTGTTAATTTCTTTATATTTTTTATAAAAGTAAAATTACTAATAACGACACTTAAATATTGTAAATTTTTATTTAGGTAATTAAATTTGTTAAATTCCTAATCACGTCACATGACTCAAATAGGGATATTACAACTTTAATGAAATGACTCTAATATTATTTTCATTAGAAACAAAAAGAGAATTCTAAATGGACATGTTCCATTTCATAGTTAACACGTTTTGATTATAAATTAACAATTTGTTGCTTTCATAACATGTTTAGAGTAAGTCTTTGAATAAAACTTATTAATCACAATAAAATCTTAAAAATTAACAAGTTTAATTATGTAGTTAACAAGTTTCAATTCTAAATTAATAGCTTTATGTCTTCAAAATACACTTGCAATAAGTCTCTAAATAAAACTTGATCATAATACAACTTTAAAAATTAACATTTTATTTCACAGTTAACATGTTTTAATTCTAAATTCATAATTTTCTATCACCATAACACTTGAAATAAATCTTTGAATAAAATTTGATCACAATATCACATTGAAAATTAACATGTTCTATTTTATAGTTAACATATTTTAATTCTAAATTAATAACTTTCTGTCTTCTCAACACACTTATTATACTGCGAACAAAATGTTATCACAATACAACTTTAAAAATTAACATCTTTTATTTGCAATTAATAGGTTTCGATTATAAATCGAAACTTTATAGTTCTAACATACTTATAGAATTGAGGAAGAAATATTTAATATAAAAACTAACCTATTATTGCCTTCTTGATTGATTCTTCGACTTTGAAATGGTAGACACTAAATTTTTCTTGTTAAGAGCTCTTAGACAATGCAAGAATGATAAAAAATCTTTATTTGTATAGGTTTAATGAAATGGGTATTAGAGTCATTTCATAAAATTTTAAGATCCCTCTTTGGTTCATGTGACCTGATTAAGGCTTTGGCAAATTTAATGACCAAAATAAAAATATGGCTTATTTAAGCGTCTTTTTAAGAGATTTTTCCTTTTATGAATTGTCTAATTTTCATTGTAAACCTACTTGTATCTCTTGTAAATCGGTGATGGGTGATTCTTTGAGGGGGAAAAAAAAGTAAGGGTACAAATGTCTTTTCATGCATAAAATTTAATTTCATTTTGGTCCAAGGGTATAGTAAAATTACATAATGTTTCGAGAGTTTTTGGATGTCAATTGAATTGGCAAGAGGTGTGCAGTGAAATTCTTCCTAATTTTATCCTCAGATTTTACTTAGATATTGCATTTTTTTTTTTGTGAAACAATCGACCTTGCTTGAACTAAATCTGTTTCTTTTTCCGGTTTTAGTCTGCATGTTTTCTTAAAAAATCCTTTTTAGTGATCCTGGGCACTGATCAATTATAATTATTTGATAATTTCTTTTCTTGTGTGGTAGATAATATGTTTAGAAATTTTTTAGTCGATCACATGACATGATCTAAACTATCCCTACAAATCCAATATAATAATAATAATAATAATAATAATAATAATACTTTGTTTTGTATGTAATTAAACACGATTTCTTATATACTATACTACAAGATTTGAGAGATAAGGGATATAATTTATGAGTAATGAATAATATGATTTGTGTACCTCATTATATATAATTATATATTGATAGTACAATTTATTTGGCCCAAAAAAGAACCTCTTTTTATAATAACAAATTTAAAAGTCTATAGTAGTCGAAATAACGCGTTATGTGTGACAGCTATTTTCTTTCATTACAAAAGTCTGAGAGTAGTCGTCGGTCAATTTTTTGTACATTATGGCTTTTGGTATCTTGACGTCTATGTGAAGTCTTCCAAGTCAACCTTCAAGTATATGGCCCCACAAATAACCCCATAGACAAGCTAGCAGCAAGCACCAGTAAATTTGTAAATACTGATAATTAACTTCGAAAGCTTTATCCATTTATTTTTGCACATTTTGGCCTTATCTCTCTTTAATGTCCGTACGTTTGGTATGAGGAGAGGGGAGGGGAGAAAAATTTTTAATGAGCTCCATTTAAAAGTTGAAAAAGTCAGATTAAAAGTTTTTAATTCATTTTTCTTACTCTTTTATCTTATAATTTCTTTTTATCAAACTTTTATAACCCCGCTTTCTCAATTTGTAAAATCGTTTATTAAAATTTTCCCTCCAATTATTCCCATCCATTCCCCTCATACTAAAAATAGGGAAAATTATTGAAACGTGTCGTGAACGGCGACTTTGTATTTAGAAAATTCTGCAAGTCTATCCCCCACACGGTAGAGGAGGTTTTAGGGGAAAATAAGTGGCTTTGAGGGGCAATAGTGTGGTGATTTAACAAGATTCGAAAATCCCTAATTAGTCCTGTTCGATTAGAAATTTATTAAAAACATATGTCTTAATTTGCATTTTGTTATTTTAGCTATTCATTGGAACTTTTCCCTCCTTTTATTTTGTGAAACAATCGACGTTGCTTGAGCTGGATTTGTTTTAATTTATTTTCAAATTTTAGTCTGCATGTTTTTTTTTATGTCATAGATGATAAGATATATAAATGCTTTTCTTTTCCAAAAGGTTTTTACTGATTCTGGGCACTTTTCTTCGATATTTGCTTTTTTTAATACGGCAGAAGCTGTTGAGAACATTTCTTTGTCACATGGCGTGATCTGAACTATCCCTGCAAATCCAATTAAACACCTATTTTTATATGTAGCTAATCACTTTTTCTTATATATTAGACAAGATTTAAGAGATAAAGCATATCATTTATGATTTATGAATAATATGAGTTCTTTACCTTATTATGGCTCAAAAAAAATTTTTTTTTGATAACAATGTGAAAGTCTATGTAGTTGTTGGAATAACAAGTTACGTGTGACGACTTTGATTTTTCTTCATTACAAAAGTCTTCCAAGTCAACCTTCAAGTATAGCCCCAAAATTAACCCCATAAACAAGCTATCAGCAAGCACCACAAAATTTGTAAATATTGATAATTTGCTTCGAAAGCATTGTCCATTTATTTGTGTACATTTTGGCTTTATCTCTCTTTAATATCTACAGAAAAGTCTAAAAATTATTGAAGCGTGTTCTGAACGGTGACTTTGTATTTACAAGAGCCTACAAGTATATGGCCCTACAATCCATTTTTCACTCTCTCACGCCTCAACCACATCTCGTGAGCATTATATATATATATATATTGCTCATTCTCTGCTTTTGAACTTGTAGTCGAAGATACTGTCATTATAATGGCCTTTATCTGGAAGTTTTTCTATGCATTATTTGCATTGCTGTTTCTGTTACATACGACTTTCAGTTTGGCTAAAGGAGCAAAGTGCGTAGAGAATGAGAGAAAAGCTTTACTCTTATTCAAACAAGGAATCCTGCAAGACGACTCTGGAATGTTATCAACCTGGAGAGATGGAGATCATGAAGACTGCTGCAACTGGAAAGGAGTTCATTGCAGTAATGAAACAGGTCACATTCAATTCCTTAATCTTGGCGGTTCGTTTTCTTTGAGTGGTAAAATTAATATTACTTCATTGAGTGAATTGCATGATATGGAATATTTGGATCTCAATGGCAATGATTTCTATCCAAGTGAAATCCCAGAGTCCATAGGGTCCTTTACCAAGTTACGATATCTTGATCTCTCTTCTTCTGGTTTTGTTGGCACTATTCCTTATCAATTGGGAAAGCTTTCAAATTTAGTATGTCTTGATTTGAGTACCAATATATTGGTTGGAGATATCCCTTGGACGATTGGAAACCTTTCAAAGCTGCAACATCTCTATCTTGGAGATAATTCTCTTGGTGGAGTGATCCCTTTCCAGCTCGGGAATCTTTCCATGGTGCAAACACTAGAGCTTCGTGGTAATTCTCATCTCACATTTGATCAGCAGAACAATCATGATGCAAAGTGGCTATCTAAGCTTTCTTCGCTATCAAGTCTTGACTTGAGTTCTCTGAGTGATGTTGGCTATTCTCATCTCTGGCTACAATTGATTGGTGAACTGTCAAAACTTAGAGTTTTGCGACTAAGTGGATGTGGCATTTCTTATACCCATAATCCTTCTTCAACTACTTATCCTTCAAACTATTCCTCTTCTCTTGTTATCCTTGATCTCTCTAATAATAACTTGAACTCAACAACATTTCAATGGCCCTTCAATTTGAGCTCCAACCTTCAAGAGTTATATCTAAGTTATTGTAATCTTTCAAGTACTGATCTTCATTTTATATTTTCCAATTTTCAGCTTTCTTCCCTCATCATCCTTGACCTTTCTTACAATAACCTGATGTCACTAACGGCACTGAACTTCAGCTCAAATCTGCAAGTGCTTAATTTGCAAAAGTGTAGCCTTTTATCTGATAATCTTATTTTTACACCTTTCAATCCCAATCTTACTTCTCTTGTCCATCTCGATTTTTCTGATAATTTGTTGACGTCATCATCCATATTCCATTGCATTTCTAACTTCACCTTTAATCTTCATGAGATTGGACTTTATCAAAACTTGCTGGAGGGTCCCATTCCAGAAGGTTTTGGAAACATAATGAACTCTCTAGAAGTCCTTAATCTCTCTCAAAATAAGCTACGTGGTGAAATACCAACATCACTGGGGAATATATGCACTTTGAATCACTTGGATCTTTCACAAAATAACTTTGGTGGGGAGCTTTCAAGTTTCATCCAAAACACTTCCCTGTGCAATAGTCATCAGCTACGGTCACTGGATTTATCTGACAATCAAATAAAGGGCATGTCAACCAATTTCTCTGTTTTCTCCTTTTTGGAACATTTAGATCTCTCTTACAACCAATTAAAAGGAGAAGTACCTGAAAGCATCAAATTGCTATCTCAATTGAATGCTTTGTTGCTGAACGGGAACAATTTAGGAGGTGTAATAACTGAATCTCATTTCAACAAGCTCTCTAATTTGAAGAGGTTATCACTATCTGGCAATTCATTAGCCCTACAAATTAGCACTGGATGGATTGCCCCATTTCAGTTGCAACAGTTGGAAATGGGTTCTTGTATGTTGGGTCCTTATTTTCCTAATTGGCTCCATAATCAACACGAGTTAAAGACATTGGATATTTCTAATTGTGGGCTTTCAGGTTTCATACCAGAATGGTTTTGGCATCTAATACAAGATGTGGATGAAGTTCGTATCTCACAAAACAATTTTTTTGGTGAAATTCCAAATTTATCATTGAAGCTCAGTACTAGCCGACTAACATTGACATCAAACAACTTTGAAGGTACGGTTCCATCATTTTTTTCACAAGTACCAGCACTTGATCTTTCAGAAAACAAATTCTCAAATTTGGTCCCACTTCTATGTGATCAAATTGAAGACAATAAAGGCCTGAGCATTTTAGACATATCAAACAATAAATTAGAGGGGCATCTACCTGATTGTTGGAGCCATTTGAGCTCATTAAAGTTTGTTGATTTGAGCAATAATAACTTGTCCGGAGTGATGCCAACCTCTATGGGACGACTTGTGAAATTGGAGGCTTTGGCTTTAAGAAGCAACAACCTAGTTGGAGAACTTCCTTTTTCTTTGACAAATTGCTCCCGGTTATTGCTCTTAGATGTGTCTGAAAATAAGTTGTTAGGGTCAATACCTTCATGGATTGGAGAAAACCTTGGACAATTACAAGTTCTAAGCTTAAGAATGAATAATCTATATGGCAGAATACCTTTGCATCTTTGCCGCTTAGGCTATATTCGGCTCTTGGACCTATCTCATAACAATTTGTCCAATGAAATCCCATCATGTCTTAAAAATTTTACTGCTTTGGCAGATGATGACCGCATCAACTTACCTATTGCAGTAAGTTATCACTTATTTGGGCTCGGTATGAAAGGCTGGAGACTTACCGGTTTTGGTTTTGTATTCCATGTAAACTTGACATGGAAGGGTAAAGATGACTTGTTCAAGAGGCCAGAACAATTTCTTAAAAGCATTGATCTATCTAACAATGCTCTTACTGGTGAAATACCTAAAGAAGTTGTATCTTTATTGGGATTGGTTTCTTTGAATCTATCCAGAAACAAATTAAGTGGAAAAATTCCTCATGAGATTGGAAATCTAGGATCATTAGAATTCTTAGATTTGTCAAGAAACAGATTATCAGGTCCAATCCCTCCAAGTCTTGCTCATATTGATCGCCTAAGTGTATTAGACTTGTCAAACAATTGTCTTTATGGAAAAATCCCAAAAGGTACACAATTGCAGAGTTTTAATGCCTCAAGCTATGAGGGAAATCTTGATCTTTGTGGAGTGCCACTTGACAAAAAGTGCCTTGATGATGGAATGCCTACACCTCACGCATCTAATCATTATGAAGATAATGACAACGACTCATATTTCACTCAAGAATTTCACTTGAGCTTGGGATTGGGATTTGCTTTTGGATTTTGGGCCTTCCTCGGGCCATTGCTCTTCCATCGCACTTGGAGACGGACCTACTATACATTTGTAAGAAGAGTTACAGATAGAGTCCAGATCTTGATGGCCATTTTTGTGGCAAGGTACCTCACAAACAGATAGGTAATCATATAAAGTAATAATGTTTTCTTGCTTATCACACTGGTGACATTTTCAAAATATGTGACGGTATATCATGTTTCTTGCAGAATCTGCAACTTCTTTGGCTTGGTGTACGTAGGATCATCCTTGGTATTTAATAATTTGTGATTCCAAGTAGAAACCTTTGGTTGTATGAGTTTGCTATGTGATATGTAATCTACTCTTAATAATCTTCATCACTAGCATTATATTCAGTCGACCTATTGCTTTTCGATTGCCTTGTAAGTCTTTTCTGTTGTATAAAACTGTGGCTGATAGCTTGATGATTTGTATGAATGTTTGTCTATTCGGTTTTATGATTTCTATTGGATAAATGCCGGCACCCTATACAGAACTTGGTAGTTTAGCTTCTTACAATTTAAGTTTACTGTTTTAATTTTGATTCTATATATTCTTGCTTGCTGCTATTTTGTACTAAATTGTTGATTACAAGTATGCTCAAGGCAGCAGATATGAAATTCGTCAAATATTTATAAATGAAAGAAAATTAACCATTAGCCGCTTCGGGTTGAATTGATCATCTTGAGCCCTTGATGAAAAATCATATTGCTTGAAGACAAAAAGGAAAAAAAAAATGAAAGCCCATGATTTTTGGAAACAAAGACAAAAGAAAAATGAAATTATGAATATTTATTGTGGCATTGGGAAAAACAGATATTTTTTTTTAATATAATCTTATTATGTGCTACTAATTTTCATGTGAAGGATTGAGCATATAAGTCGCAATGGCAAGAAAAGCGGTAAGATGTACTTTCAAGTTTCAGCATAAATTTGTCAATTAAAGTCCGAATTCAACTTCAAAAGTGTAATAAAGTTGTTAATTATACTACAGTTTCGCAAGAATTAGAAACAATATTGGACCTTTTTTTGAAGCCTGTGAGGAACTCAGAATCCTTTAAAGCTGCTTAAGTTTGTTCAGTATATACATGCTAATTTGCGTTTTGCAATGTGAAGTTCCCAAAGAGGACTAGATATTCAGAAGTTCAGAGTCCCACATCGGTGATGAGTCATTATAGCTCGTACAGCGGAAGGCATATAAAAATGGAAGCAAGCCGGCCTTGCCCAGCACGCAGCCACGCAATGAGCACAGGGCAAACTGTTCTTTCGCCTTTTACTAAAGAAAGAATGCCGTGTGCTCGCTGCTTCAAGTGGCATACGCCTGCTTTTGGAAGGGTCCCATCTATGGGTGGGGTCCTACATTTCATCTATGAAGTTTTATGTTATTTTGTAATTTTAGAGTATTTTATTAAAATTGGTAAATTGGTAAATGATAAAAATTTGTTTCGAGGAAAAAAATTAAATAATGCTCGATGAAGATTTTCCTCCTAAAAAATATTTGGGAAAGAAATACTACAGGAGACAGTTTTTTTCCCTTCTTTTTAACCATACGGGAGCTTGTAATAAATTACTACAATGCTATCTCGGTTTTAAATATAAATCTTACATTTAAAACAAATTAGATCATATATTTAAGACAAAAAATATTAATAAATTAGAAGTCCTGTATGTTATGCGAAAAGAATATTGTGACATAAAAAAGAAAACTACCACTGTGTTCCTGTGCTTTAATTTTGTTAAATTTTCATGGTCTTCTATCCCCTTTATTAATTTTGTTAAAATGAACTTAATACTCTTAATTCCATCAGTCGATTGGCAACACAAATACTACCCTAATAAAAGTGATAAAAATAATAATAATAAAATTTTTATCTGATTTAAAAAACATGGAAAGGAACCCACTTCCTCAAAACAAAATACGCACAAGTGTGAGGGCAGGTGAATCAAAGAAGCACCAGGACATTAGACCCCATCAAAATTAACATGTTTGGGCTAGCTCATAGTCTTTTCGAATATTTTTCAAAATAAAGGAATTAACTTTTTGGACAAAACAGATATAAGAAATTAATTGATTTGAATAGAAATATAATTTATATATCCAAATTCCGAATCCAATTCACTTTCGGCCAACATTCCAATTAGATTTGTTTTTTTTTTTTGGTCGGGAACCCCCACTTTGGAGTTTATATCATGGCATCACATAATTTGGCAGCTCTCCTATGAAAAGTGATTTCCAATTAGATCTTGCTTTATTAATGTCTTGCACAAAAGTAGATCTTTTTTTTTTTTTTTTTTTTACCTGCACCAGATAAGTACTTGAGAAAATGTATTGTCTGCCAAAAATGTACAATTGATACGTGTTCATGTTGAAATATCCGATTGCAAATAAGGGTAATGTCCTTCCACAGTCATAAATTCAAATTTAAATAAACTAAAATAATCAAAACATTCATTGAAATAAAATTTATTGAATCTCAGTTCAAGGGCCACATTAAAGGATACCATCACAATCAAACTCAATTTCAAGATTCCCCACGAACGTTGACTAGAGGTTTGCAATTTTCATGCTAAGAAAAATAAATAAATAAATAAATGGTTAATAGAAATACTAATAATTAATAATTAAACAAAATCATGCCAACACTATTCCCAAAATATAATCACTATCACATATAACATTGCACATTCGGAAATGTAACAATAAATTGGATCAATCTATCCATCATATCATAATGGTACTACACGAGGTTTCGAGAATCATAGTCAAGCCTCTAATGTCAGAAAATAAGGATGGAAGAAGATTCAAACAAGACTATCAAATTTCCTGCTCTTTCTCAATATTAGCATGAGCTCTACTTTGAATATAAACTAAATTAGCTTGTAAAACACGACTCAAGAAAAAAAAAAATTTACACCTCAAATTTTTAGGGAAAATGACAAATAAAAAAAGTAGAATATATGATATTCCAATCTAGAAAACTAAGAAAATATAATGACAGAAAGGAAGTCATTCTTACATTAAAATTTTAAAATTCAGTGAAATAACAAAAATGTTCTTTATATTTTTTTTTATATAAAAAGCTTAGCCTCTCACCGACAGCCACAGTCGGGCACCGACACCGGTCGTCAGTGTGGTGGCTACCAGTGGAGTTTTTCGGTGATAGTTTTTTTTTTTTTTTTTGCATAGGAGAATATTGCAAGAAGTGGTGGAGGTGGGATTTGATCCCACAACTTCTTGGCCATTTGGACCAATAAAAAAAAAAAGATGACCATTGGGCCATTAAAAACTTTTTAATCTTGTAATGCAAACAAAATATAAGTTGACTCTTTTACTATGACTCCAGCCCGTGACAACAATTTACCTGAGGATAACAAGTCTTAATTGAGAAATAACAAGTCTAAATTTGATATTAACAAAGTAACTTTTCCTAATGCATAACAAGAAATAACATGTGCATTAATTAAAAATGACATTAATTTATTTGAAAATGACACGTCTTTACTGGAAAATGACAAGTTTAAACTTGATATTAACAAACAAACTTTTTCCTCATACATAACAAGAAATAACATGTACATTTCCAAATAAATTGTTGTCATTTTTTAACAAAGACATGTCTTTTTCAAATAAATTATGGTCATTTTTAATTAATAGACATGCTATTTCTTGTTATGTATCAAGAAAAAACACATTGTTAATCTTAAGTTTACACTTGTCATTTTTCAATAAAGATGTGTTATTTTTAGAGCCGGGAAAACGGGCCGAGCCCATCGGGCCGGCCCGTTTAGGCCCTGAAATTACGAGGGCCGGGCTTGATATTTTTCTCTTAAAATGAGAAACAAGCCCTGGAGGGCCGAGGGCTTAAAAGGGCCGGCCCTGGAGGGCCGCGGGCCGGCCCTTTTAAGCCCTTTTATAATTTTTTATTTTTTAAATTTTTTATATAATATTAATGTTATTAATTTTTTACATTGTTAATAATATTTCAAATATTTAGTTATTATTATCATTTTAAAATTAAATTTAGTTTTAGACAATAATTTATCCAATTAAATTTTTAAAAAATCGGTTAATTTAAACTTTAATAATGATTTGATTTATATTATATGCGTTGATATTTTTAAACTATATATATATTTGATAATAGAATATTTTTATACTTATATAACTTGTGATTCTATAATTTGAATTAGAAATTCATGAGTTTCAACAACAATGTTTCTCACATTAAAGTAAAATAATAGTTAGATTGCAAAATTCAAAAATAAAATTCTTATAAAAAAGAAAAACTTGATATTTTTGTTACGAAAGAAAAGCATACTTATGAAGAAAAGTAATTAATTATAGTGATGATGAAGTTTCAAAAGATTAATGATAGTGTTTATTTATTGCACAATTGCATTATAGATAAAACTTTTAGATATTGTTATCTTGTTAATGAATGTTTTAGATGTTCTTAGATATTGATGAATATTTATATATGATGATATTTTATATTTATGACTTAATTTTATTCATATTTATGTCTTTTATTAATAATTTCATTGGTTTATTTTTATATTTTTAAAAAAAATTGATAAATATAAAAAAATAGTATTTTTCCTTAAACGGGCCAAAAGCCCGCGGGCCGGCCCTGGCCCTGTAGCTTAAGGGCCGGGCTTAGCAAATTGGGGTATTTTTAAAATTTCAGCCCTGGAGGGCCGGCCCTTTTAAGCCCGCCAGCCCTGAAGGGCCGGCCCTGGAGGGCCGGGCCGGCCCTGATTCCCGGCTCTAGTTATTTTCAAATAAATTATAGTCATTTTTACTTAATGTATATGCTACTTCTTGTTATGTATAAGGACAAGTTGCTTTGTTAATTTTAAATTTGGACTTGTTATTTCTTAATTAAGACTTGTCATCCTTAGGTAAATTGTTGTCAAGGGCTGGAGTCACAGTAAAAAAGTCAATTTATATTTTCTTTTGCATTATAAAGCTAAGAAGTTTTTGATGGCACAATGGTCATCTTTCTTTTTGTTGGCTTAAATGGCCAAGGGATTGTGAGATCAAATCTCACCCCGCCACTTCTTGCAATATTCTCTCATGCCAAAAAAAAAACTGTTACAAAAAAAATCCATTGGTAGCCACC